GAGGAGAGAACGGGATCGCTAAGTTCGAAATATGCTATTTGGGATGAAGGAGATAATTATATTATTGAGAATTTTGAGGGAGAGGATATTAGGGTGATACCTTCTTCATCAATACATCATATGGATCACGGAGAAGGCAACAATGAAGGAAAAAGAGGAAGCAAGATCAATTTCTTTAAAAAACGATTGAGCAAGCCAGACTCACCTACAAAAGATATGGTTGAGGATGGGAAAAATAAGGAAAACGAAAAAATTAGGGACGCTAAGGAAAATGAAGAAATAAAGGACGAGAAAGCAATAAAGGAGGAGATCAAGGATGATAAAGCAATGGAGGATATCAAGGAGGACAAGGGTAAAAAGAAAGATGATGATGAAACGGAATAACCTTAATTTTGGGTTTCTAACTTTTTATATTGACATTTTATCTAGAATTAATTTAGTTACCTTATTATTACTATATAAAATTTTTTTTGATTAAAATTTGTTTGTGGTTTTTCCATGTATAGTATGATTCGCCTAATATTGATATTTTTCCATATGTATAATATAGTGATATTAATTATTATTAGACTTAGTTTTAAAAGTACTATTATAATATTTAAAAATCCTAATTGCAATTAATTACATCTAATAAAAAAGCAAGGTATACAGTATTTACAAATGCACATTTTTATTTTTATATAATATTTTTATTAATGTAGCTAATTTAAAAATTAATTTATAAAAGACTTATATGGTGTGGAACATCGACTTTAGAAAAAGTTATATTATTAGTTTATTTATAAATAAAAAATTTATTAATCAATTATTATAAACTAGATATATTACATATATTTTTATGAATATAACAAAAATATTTACTTAAGAAATTTTAAATTTGCTATTATAATTTTATAAAAATTTTGATTTAAAATAAAAAAAAATTTTTAGTTAATTTAAAAAAAAATCATAAAATATAAACAATATAAATTATTAAAATTATTTTAATATACGTATATAAACTTATAAAATAAATTTAAAATTAATAAAATTAAAATAAATATGTTATAATAAAATTTTATAATATATAATAAATATTTGTAAATTAAATATTCAAAATCCAATGTATTTTATTTCAATTGATTTATATATTATATATAGAAAAATTCTAAAAATAAAAGAAAACTTTACAATATGAAACAAAAATATTATTATTATTTATTTTTGCTATTATTTAATAAACATTTATTTAAATTAAATATAAATTTAAATATAAATAACTTTAACTAATAAAATAATTTTATTAAAAAATTTTCTTTATTAATTTATTGATTTTTAAATATTGCTATTGTGATTTTTTTATTTTATATTCAAATTTTATAAAATAAATGACAATTTTAATTTATTTTTATATTGATTTTGTTTTAATACAAAAGATTTTTAAAAAAACAACTTAATAATTTAATTTTTTAAAAAACATTACTAATAAACTTAAAATTATTTGATATACAGTATATGATTTTTTAAAAAATTAAAGAAACAAATCTTTTTTTTTGTTTTTTAATATTTACTAATTCTTTATATATTTTTTTATTTTATTATAAAAATTTTAAAGAAATAAAAGAAATATTTCAATTTATTAATAAAAAAAACTTTTAATTAAAAAAAAATTTTTTTAAAAACCTTATTCTTTTCTTAAATTATATAAAAAAAAATTTATTATAATTATTTCTTTAAAAATATTTTTAAAATATTTTTTTATTTTTATTTTTTATTAATTTATTAAATTTTTTAATAATTAAAAGTAGTTTTAATAATATTTTATTTATAACTTCCCAATGTTTTATATATTTTATTATATTAAAAACTCAAAAATATTATTCAAAAATCTTTTATTAAAAAATTATATTATTATTACTATTATTATTATCAATCAAAAGCAATAATGTTTATCTACTTAAAATAAATTATTTTATACTATATAATAAATAATAAGTAAAAAAATGTTATAATTTTAAATCAATAAAGTAATTCTTATTTGATTTAGCTTGTTATTGAATTTTTATAAAAAATTAGACATACTGTAACTATTATACACGTATGTATAATAGTCACACATATTTATTATGGAAAAATATCAATATTAGGCGAATCATACTATACATGGAAAAACCACAAACAAATTTTAATCAAAAA